ATATTTCTTTCCAGCCTTCTTGCCTGTAAGGTTTCTTTTGAGAAATCAGCTGATAGTCTAGTGAGAACTCCTTTATAGGTAACTCTCTCCTTTTCTCTTGCTGCTTTTAAGATTCTCTCCTTATCTTTAATCTTGGCTAATGTAATTGTGATGTGTCTTGGTGTGTTCCTTCAGTTCCACTTCTTTGAGATTCTCTGAGCTTCCTAGACTTTCTAAAAGTCTATTTCCTTTGCCAGATTGGAGAAGTTCTCCTTCATTATTTGCTCAAATAAGTTTTCAATTTGTTGCTCTTCCCTTCTTCTGGCACCCCTATGATTCAGGTGTTGGTATGTTTAAAGGTATCCTGGAAGTTTCTAAGCCTCTCCTTATTTTTCTTGAATCCTTGTTTCTTCATTACATTTCTGGTTGAATGTTTATTTCTTCCTTCTGCCCTAAACCATTGATTTGAGTCCTGGTTTCCTTCCTATCACTCACTGTTGGTTCCCTGTAGATTTTTCTTTGTTTCACATAGTACAGCCTTCATTGCTGCCTGGGTCTTTATTATGTTGTTGAAGTAGTACCCAGTCAGTTCCTGGAGCATCCAACCAGTGTTTTGAACTGTGCCTCTGATAGGTTGGCTATCTCTTCATTGCTTAGTTGTGTTTTTGTCTGGAGCTCTGAACTGTTCATTTGGGCCATATTTTTTTTGTCTATGCACACCTGTTACATAGTAAGGAGTGGAGCCTCAGGTGTTCACCAGGGCAGGGCAACCCACATTGATGCATTATAATGCTATATGTCAGGGAGGGGTCTGAGAGGGAACAGTGGCACTTGCTCTGTTCTCTGCCAGTTTTCAGTCACTTCCCTCACTTCCCACAATCAAATTGGGCCCCTCTGGTGCTGATTCCCATGTGGGTGGGTTTGTGTATATTCTAGGACCCTGTGGGTCTCTCCAATGAACTCTCCTGTGAGTCTGGGAGTTTCTCCTGCTGACACATTAACCCCCACAGATGTTTTCAGTCAGAGGTTTTGAGGCTTTATTTCCCTGCACTGGAACCCTGGGCCATGTGGTCGCTCCCTAGTTGTTCCTTTTGGTTTATCTGCACTCAAACGTGGGACCACCCTGTGTGCAAGCTGCCACTTTGCCTCGAGTCTTCTCCACTCAGCTGCCCATCTCCCACCCTCCTACTGTTCTGGATGAATGCTTCCTTGTTCTTTAACTCCTTGGTTGTTGGGCTTCCATGCAGCTCAATTTTCTGTCAGTTCTGATTGTTTTTTGTTTTTAAATTTGTTGCTGTCCTTCTTTTGGTTGTGTGAGGAGGCATAGTGTGTCTACCTACACCTCCATGTTGGCTGGAAGTTCTTCTTTTTTTTTTAGAAAAATAATTCTTAATAATTTAAATTAAATTAAATTATTTTGTCCTAACTTTAATGTGTAATCATAAAGCTAAATATAAACTTCAAGTGTTTTTACAGTGAAAACCTACAACAGATATGAAGTGCAATAGAAAACAAAGAGGAGACCAAGATTAGCAAGAGCGACTCAGGAGGAATCGCAGTGGGTCCACTGGGATGGGGCAGGGCTGGGGAGAAGGGCCCTGCCAGGGTGTGTGTGCGGGTGGTAAGTGTGCAAGAGGGCACTGCTGTGTGGCCACGTTGTGTGCAACCTCACAACCTTGCTCTCTCTCTGCTTCCTCCGGTCTTCTCCATCCACCTGCTCCCTAAAAACTACAGGTGAAGGGCCCTCTTTGGGGAACAGAGAGCCCTGCTTTTTCACCAGTCGTGCTTCAGATGGTGATTTCTGATTAAATTAAATGAGTGATTGTGGGTGTAATTGTAGAAAAATGTAGCTCAGATATGGTTCTGTATATAATGGATTTCTTATTTTCACTCTGATATTACAAATGCAGAAAATTTCACTTGCTTATAGAAAGTATAACAGCACAGGTAATAGATTCTTTTTTGTATTTCTGGATAATCAGACAAACACTCTATAAGGCACACAAGTAAGCAATCAGGAAGTTCTGATTTAATGAAATGTCTCTCCATTCTGTAAAGTTTTCATCTTCAATTAAATATAATTTAGCTTTTTAGCTTTAGACCAATGAACATTAAAATGGGTACTAAGCTATTTAGTTCTGGAGTATCAGATAGAAAAATTAATATTGGAGATTTACTACCATGTATACTCACTGCTAATAAGTGGTGGCAGTTTGGTACATCTGTCAGTTTACAGTGTTCCATTGTCAATTGTTACATGTGACAACTGGGAACCATAACATATTTGCTTGTGAGCAGCAGCATCTCCATGCTGCCACAGGCTGTGTGCTGAGTCGATGTCTCTACCTCCTTTCTCTACTATGAAAACTTGGTTCACGTGGGCACTGTGATGCTGTGGATTGTCACTTGGCACAGATGTGGGCTCAAACAAAAGCTCAACAATGAGCCCTGGTGTTATGTGGCTCCGAGCTAAGGTGGCCATCCTGACGGTCAGAAGAGGTTCTGATGACACATTCAGAATGTAATTTAAATAAAGATGCAACAGTCTTACAGCTTGTGCAACCAGAGAGCCAATGTCTACGAGCCCCTGGCTTTCCCATCACATTGGAGAAATAGGAGAAAAATTGTGGGACATGATTCCTTCTGCTGCCCCACAATATAGGACAGCAGATGGAATCATGGAAGGCCCCTGGATGACAACACTCTTGTTTTCAGGTGATCGCCTGGGGCATACCTGGTTGGCACACATTTCCTGTATCAAATGTTTTGCATTTGAGTTGCATGTGGTGCAGGCCAACAATTATTGGAGAATTTGGCTTCTTTGGATGGTACTTAGGTAAGCGGGTGCTGCAAAGGGCCTGGCGCATTGGAGAAGGAGCTCTTGGATTCCTGAGGGATTAAGAACCTGTGGGATGTTTTCCTGTCCAGCTGCTTCAGGGCTCATCTTTTGGCACCAGGACTTCCTGAAGCAAGGGCTAAAGACACTGTCCTTTAGCTTAGGCACAGTTGGATGTGGGGCTGAAGATGCTGCCCCCAGAGCCCTGAGAACAATGGCTGTAATTGATGTCTTCATGGTGTCAACATTGATGACAGACTTTAACCTAGGCAGGAATCTGGAGGGCCTGTGGGAGGCTGTCTCACACCTCAGGTGACTCAAAGGCCCTGGAGGAAGAACTCTATCTAGGCTTACGACAGAGCCAGAGCCACAGCAATGATGACGATGATGGTGACGACAGCGGTGAAGTAACAGTCCCTCCCCTGACCTCTTTTTTGCCTTGGGTAAGAGAGCTCTGACTGCTTCTTGCCCATCTCCATGCATGAGGCTCACTGGCTTGCACGCCCTGTGTTGCAATCTTTTCATTTCCTGAATACATTCTTTTTGGTGATGGAATACCTACTGGGGTTTTGTTTACTGTTAACAGTTTTATTTCTTAGACTTTAAAAGGTTGTTTAAATGAAGCTTCTTACCAAAATGACACATGTTTCCAGTCATGAGCAGGATTCTCCGCTCCTGGTCCTGCTTCCACGAGGCAACTGCTCTTCTCCGGCTCTCTTCCATCTTCCTCCATGTGTCTAGTTTTGTGCTTTTACTTCTATTTCCTGAAAACTTCGGACATCATCTTTTCTACCAGGCAGATGTCATTTGTATCTCTACTGGACAAAAAAATCACATGCTCTTTATCTGCTTTCTACAAGTTAGTAGCACGTTGGTGGCAAAGTTGTATTTCTAGATGGTGAGATGACCCTTGTGTGGCTGGGCCTACTAGGCAGTGCTCTAGTATGGCCCTCTAGTGGAGCCACCTTCTGGCCCCCCTTTTCAGGGTTGGGGTCACTTTTTACTGCCATCAGCCCTCTCAGCCTCTGTGTTCTGTGGGTGAGGGAGGGGTGGTACCCGGATGGATGTCAGTTGCTCAGAGCAGCACAGACGGTTAGCAGTAGAGCTGAAGTAGTGATTCTCTTCATTTTTGGTTTTTCAACCTGGGTCTCCTGGAACTGGGATATTATGAAACAGTCTTTGAGACCAGCAACCATTATCCAGGGAAGGACAGCAGAGCAAAGTGGGGGCCACCCAGTGCCATCACGGGCTGCTTCTACCAGGCAGAGCGCTCCCACCCAACTGTGTTTCTCAAAATCCACATCACCTGGGGTGTAAACTAAAAATCATGTGTTTGGGATTCCTCTAGACCAAGTCAGTTAAAACCCATTCCCTTCAAAATTCTGTTTAGAGCAGGACCTAAGAATCAATATTTGACTAAGGACCCAAGTGAGTACCAATGGTTAACCACATTTGGCACACATTTTTCTGAATGTCCTGGGGGGAGTTTTGCTTATAAAAAGACTTAGATTACTCATGCTTGTGATAGCTGATGTGCTTCTATGGAAACAAAGAGATACATAAAATGTATATTTGTTGCTGATTTTGTTGACATTTATTTCCCCAAGATTGTTCTTACTTGAGTGACTTAGAAGTGAATCAAACAAAATGACTTGTATAAAAATGTTCAAGCTCTCAAAAAACATTTCTGATGGAAAGCACCCAAATTTTCATTAACCAGTGGTGGTATATTCATATAAAGAAATATCATTTGGCAATAAAAGAAGATAAACTACCAGTAGAGATTTAACTAGGTGAATATAAGAAACATTATACCAGACACAGAGGGTTCATATTGTGTAATTTTGTTTATTAAAAAATTTGTTTATCCCTGGCTGGTGTAGCTCAGTGGATTGAGCATGGGCCTGTGAAGCAAAGGGTCACTGGTTCGATTCCCAGTCAGTGCACATGCCTGGGTTGTGGGCCAGGTCGCCAGTAGGGGACTCATGAGAGGCAACCACACAATGATGTTTCTCTCCCACTCTTTCTCCTTCCCTTCCCCTCTTTCTAAAAATACATGCATAAAATATTTTAAAATTTTAAAAAAGAAAGAAATCTTGTTTATGAGAAGTTCAAGAGTAGGCAGATTTGGCAGCAGTCACTGGGCAGATCGGACTCTTCTGGTTCCTCCGCTTCCTCAGCAGCCATGTCTGATACACCCGATATGGCCAAGATGGACAAATTTGGTAAACTGAAATTGAAGAAGACGGAAGTGCAAGAGAAAACTCCAGTGCCATCCAAAGAAACAACTGAACAGGAGAAGCAAGCAGGCAAATCATAATGACGCCCACACCACCAAATCACACTGTACATTCCACAAGCATTGCCTTCTTATTTTACTTCTTTTAGCTGTTTAACTTTGTAAGATGCAAAGAGGCTAGATCAGTTTAAGTGACTGCGCTGCCCCTTTTCACATCAGAACTACTGACAATGAAGGCCACACCTGCCTCTGACTGGCAGGGGAGGAAAAGAACTTGGCTGCTGGTGAAGGGAGAAGCAGGGTAGGACGACAGTGACATCCAGAGTAAAACCAGAGCTGGTCCAAGGTGTCCTGCAGGCTGTAAAATGGAATTCAATCGGAGTGCCATTTTTTTCATTACAATGATTTTAATTATTATATTTCACATTTTTAATATGCAAATAAAGAGTTTTAAGACCTGAAAAAGAAAGAAGTTCAAGAATAGGCAAACTTAAGCTGTGGTGACAGAAATCAGAACAGTGGTTGCTTGGCATGGGTGAGGGCACATAGAGAATTCTAAAAGTTGCCATAGACCTAAAGCTGATCACATTCAAAGAATAAAAATCATGCCGGCTTTGAACACCCCTATGGCAACACAGTACACCAGAATGGGATGCTCTCCATGTTCCCAAGTTAACTACTTTCCATTGTTGAATTCCACAGCAAGTCATTCTATCAGATATGAAAGCAGAATAAGCCCCTTTTCAAACAAGGAAGATTTATCTCCTGTGTGCTTGGATGGACAGCTACTAGGAATGTGCTTTGCCCAAACGAAGAGTCAGGCTAAGGAAAGACCAAGACACCTGCTCCTGGAAGCAGGGATCTGACCCAGGACAAGCAGTGCAGGCCTGCAAGGTGGCGGAGGAGGTCACAGGAGACTGCAGACAGAGTGACGCTGCTCCTGGCTCAGGGGACCGATGATGCAGTCAAGTTGTAACGTGCTTGATGTGTTCGCATGGACTGGGAGGAAATGTCAACAGTGTGGGGAAACTGCGGGGTGTGAATTTACATAGAAAAATAAGCAAAGACAAAAAAAACCCATCCCCCAAATCAAAAACAGAAATAAGACAGTTCTTAATTACAGGGAAAAAATTAACTAGGAAAACATATAATCATAACTTACTATATGGCCTGACTCAGAATAGTGTTTATATTAAAATAATAATATAAATTGCGGCAATCTATCAAAAAGTACAGCATGAATATTTTGGGGGTGTGTATCTAAGTGTGTGAGACAAGGGGTAAGGTGAGTTGTGGATGAAAGAGTTAAACTGGAATATTGGTAAGTACCAACATAATCATGGTTTTTAGAGATAGAAGGTAAAGATTAAAAACTATCTGTTAATAGAATTAGTAGTTGTCTCTGGGTAGCAATTTATAGTGTCTGTTCCATTTTATAATAAGATGAGTATTACTCGTTGACTTTAAAAATTATGTACAAGAATAATTTTGATAAAACTTAATTAAAAAAGTCTGTGGTTCCTAATGATTTCAGTACCATAAGGAGTTGTTTTCCCAGCACCAAGCAACTTGGACACCAGCTGGGTGTCTTGCGATTCAACTCAATTCTGCCATGATCTAGACAGACAGCATAGGACTCCATAGGTTAAGAGCTCAGTCCTACAAGACTGCCCCATCCCCCTGCAAACTTCCAACACCAAAGTCAGGTTGTCACCTGTGCTGCTGATGGGCTATAGACTGGATGTGTGGGGGAGGGCAGAAAAGAAAAGGCTGGCTCTCCTTGGCAACAGGGAACCACGCCCTGCTCATATTTTATTGTGGGCCCGCTTCTAGAGGCAGGGTGTCACTGCTGGTGTGACCCCTTCCTAGGAGCTGGCCTAGGGAAGGGATGCATTTGTGTGCATGTGTGTGTTGAGGCCTGAAAAATCTCTGACTATATGCAGAGGAAACTTTTGTTTCTGGAAATGCAAAATCAGAACTAAGAGGACTGGTGAAAGCTTTTACTTTTTCATATGAAAATTCAGGTTTTATCCACGGTCTCAAAAATGGTTTTTTCAAGCGCATCATCAGTTATCTACCCCTCACCACTTGCATTTAAATTGGACTAGAGAGAGGATGTAGACCGGGGAGAAGTCCGTCCTCCGGAAGGCTGTGAAGTCGCCCCTGTGGTTGCTGAGACTGGCCTCAGGTCTGTGGATAGGGACTGAGTATTTCCATTCTTCATGGACCATGTCTTTGGATTGTAATATTGGGTGTTTATACTTCAAACTTATATAAATGACTTTATTTTGTTTGTAAAATCTAGACAGAAGAATTTCTGGCTCTCCCATATAGCTGAATTTATTTCTCTCTCTCTTTTTATTACTGGTATCTGATTTATTTCTACTTTTAAAACAATTAATATTTACTTATTTTGTTTTGTTTTATATGAGGATTTAAAAATACTACGTTTGGGTTTTGAAAGAATTGCTATAAGAATTAATGAAAGAATGAAATTGTGAACATTCAATAAATGATAGCTATTATTATTATTATTTTCTGAAAATTGAAGAAATCTCTTTTGGATCCATTATCTATGTTTTGAGAAATATTGAGTAGGTTTGAGGGAATATTAATATCAATTATATCCTACATGTAAATAAAAGGCACAGACATGGTCTCATCCCCCAGCCGAAGACACAGAATTAGGACCGTTGGAACCCCCATGTGCTCACCTTCCTTCCTGTCCCTTCCCTTCCCTCCCTCAGACACATCTGTCATTCTAAGTCTCACACTTACCATTCCCTTGCATTTTGTCATAGTTTCACACATATGTGTACCTCCCCTCAAAAGTTTAGTTTTGCATGTTTTTAAACTTCATTTCAGTGAAAGCATACTGTTTGCATTTTTTCACAGCTTGCTTCATGTCCCTGGGTTCACTCGTGGTTATGACATGCAGTGTTTGTGTTGGCCTTCAGGCCATAATGCAAGTGTGACACCAAAGATAAGATAGACTAGAGAGTGGGTGGGAAAAGCCTCAGGCTGCCGCCTGGCTGCGACAACTCTGAGAAAGTCTAGATCAGATTGGCCGGAGCTCCAGGCGAAGCAGAGGCCCTGAGGCACAGGAAGGCTGTAGTACGGCTGTGCTCAGTCAGGGCACCCCCCCCCCCCCCCCCCCCCCACCACGACCCCGAGCAGCCCAGGGAGCAAGCAACTGGCAGAAGCCCAGGCTGAGGTGGTGGCAGCCAGGGTAGTAGGGGTGGTCCAGTCGTGACAGCCTGAGGCTGTCTACCAGCTCCTCTTCTGGTGGTAGTAGGTTCTCTTCAAGGGAGATCTAACTTGTTCCTGTTTTTCCCAGCTTTACTGAGATACTAAGTGTAAGGTAAACAATGTAATAATTTTATACAAAATTATTGCCACAATAAGGTTAGTTAACTCTTCTAGCATCTCACATAAATATCATTTGCGTGCATGTGTGTGTTGAGAACATTTAAGATCTACTCCATCAGCGACTTTCATTTATGACACAGTACTGTTAGCTGTAGTCACCATACCGTACACTAGATCCCAGAGCTTACATTACAACCAGTCATTTGTACCTGTGATCAATGTCCGCTCACTTCCCCCACCCAGCTCCTGGCGACCACCATTCAACTCTGCTTCTATGAGATCAACTTTTTTAGATTCCACACGTAAGTGAGATCGTACAATATTTATTTGTCTTTCTCGGTCTGACTTATTTAACTTGGCATAATGCTCCCAATTTCATCTGTGTTTGCTCAGATGGCAGGATTTTCTTCTCCCATGGCTGAATAATATTCCACTGTATGTATAAAAAATGCCACATTTTTATCCATTTATCTCTCAACAGACACTTAGATTGTTCCTATGTTTTAGCTATTATGAATAATATTGCAAATACAGGGAGGCAGGCAGTTCTCCAAGACAGTGATTTCATTCTTTTCAGAGAAACATCCAGAAGTGGGATTGCTGAGTCATATGGTAGCTCTATGTTTAATTTTTTGAGGAGCTTCTGCACAGTTTTCCACAGCGGCTACCCCAGTTTCAGGTGTGAGGTGGTATCTCGTTGTGGTTTTCATTTGCATTTCCCTAATGATTGAGCACATGTTCATATAGTGGTTGGCCATTTGTATGTCTTTTTTTTTTAGTTCCCTGTTCCTTTCACCCTCTCTTGCTGTCTGCCTTTGTGAATTGATGACTTTCCATAGTGGTATACTTTGACTTCCTTCTTGTTACCTTTTTTGTTTCTATTGTCGGGTTTGCTTTGTGGTAATAATGAGGTTTACATGAAACATCATAAAGTATAAGTCTATTTTATGCTGATAAAAACTTAATTTTAATCACATACAGAAATTCTATTCTCCTTCACCAAAATTTTGTATTTCTGATTGCACAACTTGCCTGGCTTTCCCCTCACTTTATATAGTGTATAGATTAACAAATTATTGTGGCTACAGTTATTTTTAATACTTTTGTTCTTTAATCTTTATAATGGACTTAAGAGATTAACACACTCCCATATTTAGCATTAGAGAATTCTGAATTCAACAATGTGTTCACCTTTACCACTCTGCTTTTTATTTTTGTGGTGCTATAAATAGTAATATAAAGGAAACTACTTTATTTTTAAATTTTAATATTTTAATTTAAAAAAATTAACAGTTTATTTTTCATTGTATTTTTTCCATTACCATTTATCTCCTTTATACCCCCATCCACTTCCATCCATCCCCGTCCCCCCTGCAATCACCTTGTTGTTCATATTCACTAGTCCTTTTTCTGTTTTGTTCAATCCCTCTACCCCTCGACCCCCACCCCAGAACTGTCATCCTGTTCACTATCTATGAGTTTGTCTCTATTTTGCATGTTAGTTCAGTTTGTTCATTAGATTCTATGTATGAGTGAAATCATACAATATTTGTCTATCTCTGACTGGCTTATTTCACTTAGCATAATGTTCCCCAGGTCCATTCATGCTGTTGCAAAGAGTCAAATCTCCTCCTTTTATGTGGCTGAATAGTATGGCATTATATAAATGTTCCATAGTTGTTTTATACATTCATATACTGATGGACACTTGG